ATCATTTTTGCCGTAATCGAGGACGTTATCCTGCTACTGTTCTATCGAAATTTAAAACGAATATCCTCATTTGTGGCTCAAATTTTTCTCAGAAACAAAAATCAGGTAATTCTTTGTTTTGTTTTTTTACATTCATCAAGTGCCAATTAGCCCAAATAGCAAAGAGAAATTAAAAATGCCGTGGAAGAGTTCGAGTTAGGTTGAAGAATTTAAATTCAAAGCTCTAAAAATGGTTAAAATTGAGTTTATTTTAGCTTCTGAGTTGCTTCACTTTTCAGAGCCTCAGATGAAATCATGTTAACAAAAAAGCAGAGGTTGTTCGTCTCGCTCAGAGACATTTATGCTGGACGCGTGGCTGCTCCTGCTGCTGGAATTAAATATTAAATATGTGACCTTTAACTACGAGGTGGTTTCTCTTACCCGATCACCCAGCTGCCGTTTCACCTTTAGCTGTTCACGACGACGCATCAGCAGAAAGCAAAACAATAAATAAATACTGCAGGTAGGCACCGAATCCTAAAAGCTGAAATTGTTCAGAAGAAACAAACAAAACAATAAAGCAAAATTGTGTTTTGCAGAATTTATTATCAGTGGTGAAGCTTCACTTGAATTATGTACAACGCTGAATTTCACAGCAGCTGTTTGAGCCATAAAAGAACAAAGACGTGTGTGCTGCTGAATGTATGACTTCATAATTTTTAAGTGTGTGTGTGTGTGTGTGTGTTGAATGCACTTATATGTGTGCAACTGTGCGTTTGAAGTCGGTACACTAACAGACAGTGACGGCTCCCCGCTGGTTGACCCTGATTTTTCCTCTTGTTCTCCTGGATCTTTAATATTGTAACTGCTCGATGTAGGAAAGAGGGAAGAAACACACACACTCACACACACACACAGGATCATCACAGAGGTGTATCGCTCGTTGCTGTGACGTCTACATGCTGTCAGGTTTGATGCTCGTCAGGCACACGTTCAGTAAGAAGCTCGTCTCACAGCGACTCGAAAAAGTTTTGGATTGTGTGTTCGAGGGAGACGCGTCGGCTTAAACATTCACATCTGCACTCGAACACGCAGGAATATAAGCAGCATGCATTTATAGACAAGAGGAAGTGCATGACAGATGCTTCCTGTCTACACTGTTTGATCAGAGACTGCGTTGAGCTGAAATGCTCCCCGAAACACTGAGGAACAGGACCTGCACATTTACAGGAAGTGTAGAGCAGCTGGCTCATAACTGGACTTATGGAAGTTCCAGTTAGTTTCTAGAGGGGTTTTGCTCTTTGTGGTTTGCATTGTTTTAAATGTGTTTGTTATCATCAGCCAGTTTAAAGGTGGAGAGCTGCCTT